CATGGATCAAATCAGTCCCGAAACCTATGGTTCCCTAAACTATGCGCCCAAACAGTTCGCACTCCAGACCTTCAATAGACTAAACAAACAGAATAAGTAAGTAATCATTTCATTGATCCCTTTCCCATCCATTCTTACACTTTTATGTTTATATAAAGTACCGGTAATTACTAAAACATGACTATATAAAATTAATAAAAGTAATTTAATGTAAATTAATTGCCAGACTATACGACATAATCGTAGACATCGGTGCGGGTGATGGAGGGGTCACCAAACAGTTGGCCGCTAATGTCAGGCACAACCGCATTGTGGCCATCGATTTGGACCCCGAGATGACAGCCTATGCTCAACAAGTGAACAGCGGAGACACCATTGAGTACCGGACACAAGACATGAGTGTCTCGTGGGATGAGCTCAACCCAGACTTCCGACTACTGGAGTCTAAAGTGTCGCTCATATTCACAAACTTTGTCTTACATTACATCCAAAATAAGACAAAACTATTGCATATATTCTCGCGATTGCTGTCCACTGAGGGCTCAATTCACGCCAATATTATAATACTTCCGGATCTTAACAAAAAGCTATCGCCAGATGATCGCAAAGATTATTATCTCTCAGTTGATCAACAGATACAACAATGGAAAGAGGCTTTGGATGCAAATGGATTGACTGCTCAGGAGTTTGAGATCGTGGACGATGTCTGGCATCAGAGCCGTCAAGAGATCATAGGTTTGTATGGAAACTATGTCTGCATTTGTATTGATATCTAGAATTTCAATGAAGTTTTAATTATTTTATTATTTATTTTTGGTTAGATTTTCTACAAGTATTGATCCACGACTTCAGACCATTCTTCACGAGTGGTGACCAGTTTGAGGCCCAAAGCAAACACATGTCTGACATTGTATTTGATGCCTACGTTAACCCGGGTAGGGATGAGCCTAACCCTAACGCCTGGAAGGAATTCCTGGCCAACGATGCCATCACTCAAGTGGTCTTACATTTCAAAATATTGAGACTTATTGCCAATAAATAATCACAAATTGTTATCAATAAATAAATAAACTATTTTTGATTATTATTTACTATAGTGTATTATGATTAGTTAAATACTATTTAAGTATCAATTTTAATAATATTTGTAGTGGTTGTTTTTTGTCTATAATATAAATGATTTTCATTCAGAATAAAGAATAATAAAAATTTCTATAACATAACTATAATTAAATAAATTATATTAAATTAAATTAAATTAAATTATAAACTATAATTTATATATTTATATAAATTCAATAAGTTATTGACAATAACTGATAGGGTATGGCCTCTAAGTTATTGATTAGTTTACATTATTTCTAAACGTTTTAAAATATATTTATAGCCAAAGCACTCATACTTTACGTAAACTACAGAATAATTGCTTAGAATTAAAGTGATTGGTAAGGAAATGTATGCTGGCAATTAATCTAATAAAAACTTATTTATATTCTGTACATACAGTACACTCAAACACTGACGAAATAGTTTTATTAACAAGCTAATTTGTGCCAACTTTTTAAACACGCAATTTCTATTTTTCATTATTCATCAATTGCTGTGGGAAATGTTATCAGCACCAGGGTCACATTAATCACCACAACATCTGTGACATTCTCTATACAGTCTAATAACAATTATTATTGCATTTATATTCTGTAT